GCGGCACAGTTCCTTATCTCCTGAAGGGAAGATGTAACATCATCATCTTGTGTTTTAGCCAGACATTTTTCCTCAACACTTCCCCATTTCTATGCTGAGGGAAAAACAAAAGTTGTCGCCCCCCCCCCCCCCCCCGCCTTCTTCCTGTTTGAAACATTAAGAGCCCTTCACACAAAGCAGCTCAAGTGCAGAAGAATTAATTGGGGAGATTAGGTTGTGTTGTATTTCTGGCATTTTCTCAGAAACAGTAATTGCCCTAATTCTCCACCCTGCCAAGACCTCCACCTGCACCCTGTTTCCCCCCTCCCCTTTTCCTCAGTGTCTACCTGTCTTTCTCCTGCTTGAGTTGCTGTTTTCATGCTGTTGCCATTTATTGCATTTCAGTAATGAGAGGGATGTGGCAGGTGAAGAGCTCTCACAATCTGGTGACATCTTCTTTGAAGCACAGGCACAAAAGAGCAGTTTGTTTTTGGCAAATAAAAACTCCCTGCTATGGTACTTGACCTCCATGCTCACCTCTTCTCCTGTTTGGGATATGTTGCTGCTGCATTGCAAGTCATGTGGCTCAGATTTTTTGTTTAATATAGTCTCAATATTCACTCAAATACTGACCTCCCCCCAAACCCTCACACACTTACTGAGAGCTAATGAAACTTACGATCTTTCAATCAAAGCTCAGCCCCATTCCCAGGCAATTGAATTGAGGCTTTTGCTTTCTCCCAACCATTGGACTGATCTCCAGAGAGCTGGGAGTTCAAAGCCTTTCAGTTTAGCTTTCTGGTGTTTTTTAACTCCTGACCTTCCATTTGCAGAGGTCATAGATGTAGCCTAACACGGAAGAATTGTTTGTTGTTCAGTATTTCCTGACCTAAAACACCTGGTGATGTACACGGCAGGTTCAGATCCAATGGAGATGCTACAGTGGGTAGTAAAGTGGTGGGACTCCTTGTCTCAGGAGATGGTAGATGCCAACAGATGAGATGGGTTGAAAAAGTGATTGAACAAAACTGTAAAAGCAAAGTAACCTATCAGGGGCTATCGGACACAAAATACCTCCCCTGTTTCAGGAAATCTCTGTGCCACTGGTTATTGAGGACTGGAAGGTATTGTGGGACATACACTGTGGGCTCTTCTGTTTCCATACTCTCCTCTGCATCTCTGACTGAGGTCAGGGTCCCAGCTGACTGGACTTTGGCTGCTCTTAAAACTGTCCAGGCTGATCTCTGCTTTCCTGGGAGCTGGGGAGAGTACTGGGAGTAACCAGTCAAATGCTGGACCCAGGTGAGGGGTAGTGACATCATCCCCAGGAAGTCAGAGATTTGATTCAGTTCAATTCAGAAATCTGGGATTGTTTCTCAGTGTAGCCAAACTGCCCAAGCCTGTTCACCTCTGCTGTGAAAACTTGAGACAGCAGGTTTCCGGCAGGGATTTCAGGAGCTCTTCCCTTCAAAGCAGTTCCCTTCCCATAAAACCTTAAAAAGGGAGGGCAAGACTCCTTTCCATTTTCAGTGGTCCCTGGGTGCAGCCAACAGATCCAGACAGGCAAGAGAAGCTACTTGTGACCCCTGCCAATCCTTGAGTAGTTCCCCCCCGCCTTGACTGTGAAACTGTCTTTTTCCCCTGTTCTGATTTGTATTGTCCAAGTGTGGTTCCCAGCCACCTGCTAGAGGTTGCCTGCATGCAATGTGCTCCCTTCTTCCTGCTGTCCCCACCCTGAACGTCCCATTAGCCTGAAAGCTGTGAGATACATGGAAAAGAGCACAGTGTCTAGTTTTGAGCCAGAGGGACTTTCCCATGGTGGACATTCATCCAAAACACGTGCCTCTGTGGTATTACCAGAAATAAGGAAGGATTTTGTACAGGGCAAGCCAGAGAAGCTGCTGGTTCCTGGGTTTTACCAAGGTGGCCTGATTTTAACTGTAGCTAGAGCAGAAGAAGGTGGAGAACCATATGCCAGTGAGCTTCATTATTCTAGCCCCAGGTGGACCAGAAACAGTATGTGTGCTCCTGAGCATATGGAAACGAACCGTTCACGCTTTGGAAGGAGCACTGCCACTTACAATCGAGGGAGACCCGGATGTGTAAAACACTCCCCTCTCACTTTATCTAGGTTGCTGGACCCATTTCCCCACTGCATCCCAGCTGGCCAGTGGCCGCCTCCTGCCTTCCCACCTGCAGGACCATGATCTCAGCTCTCCTTTACCATGGGGATAGCCCTGAGATCTCACATTGGTCAGGAAAGCTGGGGAGCATCCCCAAACCTCAGTATGATCAGCAGAAGAACTGGAGGCAGAGAAGTTATAAACCAGTTTAGTGGGAGCATGGCTAAATTATGCTTTGCTTAAAGACAAACTGAAGATGTCCTTAAGATGCAAATATCTTCATCATCCTCCTTAATTAAGATGTTTGCATGGAAAGAAACCACTGCCTTTCTTTTTTCCTCCTGATTCCTGCATGGTTGGAGTTTCCACAGGCTTTCCCCTCCTGATCCCCCCGTTTCATAGTCCTGCCTCTCTCACAGCCACAGCGAGCTCCTTCTCCACGCCAGCTGGATGGAGAGAGCCCCTATTTGCAAGCAGCTGTCTTTAATAAACAGGCTGTTTAGGGCTAGGCTGTCAAAGAGAGCATGTTCAATGTACAATCAAGGGGCAACGATGCACAAAATTGCGCACACACACAAAATAGGAATCTTTTCTTGGTGTGTGTTGAGCTTTGAACGCTTAAGTGATTCCACCTCTCTCTTCCCCATCCAATTATGCGGGTAACACTTGGTAAGATTGCTAAAGGAATTAGTGAGGGAAATCTTTACACTGCCTAATCAATATTATTCTGCTCAGTACAAGGCATATCCCCCTCTCTGGCCTCAGTCGTGTTCTCATTTGCCCTCTGAAAACACAAGTTCACTTTCTCACTACTTGGGTTGTGGTGACCAAGAGGAAAAACAGCAGCGTGTCTATTAGAAAATGTTTGTAGTTAGAGTTTCTTCCTTGCATTAAAAAAAAAAAAAAAAAAAAGATGTAATACAGCCCTGCCAAAACCACGTTTCAGGGTTTTAAAGAGGCTTGCTGTGCAGGCCAGAAAGACCTTTTGTCTCTTTCAATTGTATGGCCTTACAGAAATGGCCAGCAACCTTATAAGCAAAGACAGTGGATGATAATTTTTCTGAGCATCACTGAGGCAAGATGCCAGATTTTATGGGCCACTAGACTGATCCAATATAGCAAATCCTGTGTTCCACTGTGGATTCTGAGACCAAATTATCAATTAATGTGAAGCATTAAAAAATCCAAATCCCTTTTAGTTCCCTGCAGTCATTAGTGACAAGATACAATATCTATAGCTCAAATGCTTTGCCAGCATCCCCTGGCAGCAAGGCAGAAACTCCACTCCTATTTTTTCCAATACATACAAGGAAAACATATGAGATCAGTGTTTTTTACGGTCGGATTCGTCTGCCTCTTCATATTTACTTAGATGGAGGAATAAATCAGGTTTGGGTTACTCTCTGGGTTAGTTATTTGTTATTGGAATAAATGCATGGTAATAGATCTGACAGAGCAAGATGTTTCTCTTTCAGCTCTGTGTTTGAGGTAGAATTCGCTTTGTTCTGCACTATATTATATTGATGGCTTTTTTCCACTGCTGGATGACTTCATTTGCTCTGCTTCTTTCCAATGTCTGTACCTCTGCCCCAGCTGGCTTTAGGATGCAGCTTTATGCGATAGATCTCTCTTTTCTTTTTCCCTAACTGTAACATTGTAATGCAGAGGCAATTTAAACAACCATCATGAAACAATTTTCTGAGCCTTTCCCTCACCCATTTCCTACCTCAACTTTTTGGGAAGGGAGGTGAGTCAGTCATTGACGGGGCAATTCCCCAAGCAGAATGAGCTGTCAGCTACATTTAGCAGCTCAATTTTCACCTCTGGTGTGGTGTGGGAAGGCGCCCAGGGTGATGACTAGCTGGACACACCCTGAGGTCATATTTTTGGTACTCCCCGGACAGCTGTCAGCCTGAGCTCCTAAGCAGCACAGCCATAAGTCTCCCCCCAAACCATTCTGCTCACCAACTTCCCTTTTGTCTTGGGATTTTGTCTCCTTTTTGTCCTGGTGGGAACACGAACACCTTACTAGAAAGTCAGTGGACCTTATGCTCATCATTCACTCTTAATTTGCATACTGAGATCCCTACCCCTTACCCTCCCTCCCACTCCCCAAATCTTTCCTACTTTGATACGTGGGAAAATGTAGTGCTGTATTTTCTGCTCCATCATTTCGCTTCCCTTGTCCCCTCCTAAGGTTCAGTTTTGCAAGCTCTGGCAGGTTTGTGGGTGATCGGAAGCTGTGGGATGAGTTTGGTTTTTATTTCCTCCCCCAGCCTGCGAGAATTCCGATGGGACACGGACTTTTGGGGAAGTGTAGGGTGATGTACCAGCTGCTTCACTGGACATTTGGCCAATGATGCCCTTAACTCTGGCTAACCCAAGCTTGCTTGAGTAAAGACATCAGGCCTGGGTCTTGTCCTGCTGGCAGAGGCAGAAGGGTCCCTGCACCATGCCCAGGAGGGCTGGTGATGGGCAAGGAGCAGGGTGCTTGAGTACCAGGTACAGAGGAACTGCTCAAGCCTCCTAAAACTTCTGTCTGGAGGACTCTGGGTCCCCCAAGGGATGTGGCTTCACAGTCCAAGGAGAAGTTTCAGGAGGCTAAGCCCCCCTTGACTCTTGCCCAGCTCGCCCTCCCTCTGCACTGGTGCAGGTGGTGGTGTGGGGTGCAAGGTGGTGGTGACCAGGGCCAAAGGGTCTCACCTGCCCCATGCCCTCACAGCAAGGGTTGTGCAGTGTTGGGATGTTGCAGCCAGTAAAAGACATACAGTTCGGTTAAAGACATACCCTTTCCCTTCTTGTCCCCTTGCTTCATCCCCCCCATCCCTTCCTCCCTCTCTCACCCTTCCCTTCTCTTTTGTTTGTCTCCTTCCCTTGTTTTCACCCATTCACTGTCAGGAAGGGCCGCGTCCGAAGGGCCAGTTCAGCGCAGCGTGGCAGCGACAGAGACTGGCACCGCCGGCAGCTGCAACAGTGAGTGGATCTCGACCCCTGGGGCAGCTGGAAGCGGGGGACTGGTGCTGCTTGAGCATGAAATGACACGTGGGGTTGAGCAGCTTTGGGACTAGGTCGGGTCTAGTGCATTTGGCAGTGAAGGGGCTCTCGCGTATGATGGGAACTGCACATGTTTCTACTAGGGCAACTCTCTGGGGCTTGTCTGTATGGCGAGATGACATGGGATGAATGCAAAAGTCCTCAGTGCAGTCTTCCTCTGTGGGTGTTCAGGCTGTGTCTGCACTAGTGGACAGGATGGGCCGTCCTCTGGCTTTGATGGCAGCGAGCACAGCATGGTTTGTCTCCGTGCAGCTAAACCACTCCGCGTCTCCAAGCAGGGTGGCGTTTGCACTGCTCACAGGGCACCGTCCCTGACTTGTGTTGTCCTCTCAACAGTTGTTTGGATGCTGCCAAATTGGCGTGGACTAAAACCAGACCATTTGAACAGTTGAACTGTCACATGCCAGCCCTGACGCCTTGTGTTTGCTAGTCAAGACACAGCCTCAGTGTCTGACCGGTTGGATGCTTGCAGCTGAGATTGAGTGGATGTCAACCATCACCGCCCCACTGCTGCTCCCATCCCTTGCCCAGAGGAGCAGCAGCGAGGGATTGGTGTGAGTTTGATGCTGTGATAGTGCAAAGGAGTTTGGGTTTGCCAAGGTCGTGGCTGATGGGAGCCATGTGAGCCAGCTGAGGGCTGGTAACACCTCTGTTCACCTTGCCCTCCCTTCCACAGAGGCGAGCCGTCATCCCGTTGTGCTTGCTGCATGCTGGAGCCTCTGTGTAGGGATGCTCAGTCCAGTGGGTCCCCAACTGTCACAGCATCCCAGAAGCCACTGCCAGCAAGCTGCAAGGCTGCTGGAGGTGAGCTGCAGAAGCCTGTGAGAGGGGCAAACATTGAACTTGATTGTCCTGTGTGGTTTTGCTGCTGGCACGCAAGAAAGTGCTCTGTTGATCCAGAGAGTTGGGGAGCGTTTGCCTGAGTCTGTTTTGGAAGTGGATCGAGCTAATCCACCCAAAGACACTGTCTGTGCAGGGCAGTTATGACCCCTCATAAGTTAAGGCAGGAAAGTGATGGCTTTCACGCTTTATTTCTGTTGTGGTTTAACCCCAGCTGGCAACTAAGCCCCTCACAGCTGCTCATTCACTCTCTGCCACAGCGGGATGAGGGAGAGAATCAGAAGAGTAAAACTGAGAAAACTCATGGGTTGAGGTAAAGACAGTTTAATAGGTAAAGCAAAAGCTATACGCAAGCAAAGCAAAAGAAGGAATTCATTCACCACTTCCCACTGGCAGGCAGGTGTTCAGCCATCTCCAGGAAAGCAGGGCTCCATCATGCATAACTGTTACTTGGGAAGACAAACACCATCACTCCAAACATCCCCTCTTCCTTCTTCTTCCCCCAGCTTTATAGGCTGAGCATGGTGTCATATGGTCTGGAATATCCCTTTGGTCAGTTGGGGTCAGCTGTCCCGGCTGTGTCCCCTCCCAACTTCTTGTGCCCCCCCAGCCTCCTCGCTGGTGGGGTGGGGTGAGAAGCAGAAAAGGCCTTGACCCTGTGTGAGCACTGCGCAGCCATAAGGAAAATACCCCCGTATTATTAACACTGTTTCCAGCACAAATCCAAAATATAGCCCCATACTAGCTACTATGAAGAAAATTAACTCTACCCCAGCCACAACCAGCACAATTTCTCAATAGCTTCTCTGTGCCAGCAAGCCCAAAGCAATGGGCATAAATATTTGCAGAGTAGCCATGACTCGGACAAATTACTGGGGTCCAATTATCCAAACTTCCCTGTGACATTGCTAGGTGAGGTGTATGCTCCTGGCCAGGTGATGAAGGACCAGCTGTCCCACCACCCAGCTTCCTCCCAATGCCACCACTACTCCTCCTGCCCTGGCAACGATGGGGATTAAGCGAATACCTACGTGGTGTTAAGCAGCTGAGTGGATCTTGCAAAGCCCTCCCAGGATCCATGATGGAGCAGGTCTCTGGCAGTTCCTGACTGTTGCCAGAATCACACGGGAGTGTGAGTTTAGATATTGCTGATTTTACAGGGGATATGTCAGCAGATAAGAAGACGTGCCACCGAAAGGTGATTTTGTTACATTTATGCCTTTCTGAGCCCAAATTGAATTGCCGGGTGTGGATGGGAATTTAGTTCTAAGCACTGATGTAATTTTGTGTCCTCAGCCCTGAAGGCAGTTTTTAAAAAATGATTTTCCCCTGTGCCCTGACACTATTTTTTTGCCTTTCAATCATGTCCTTATGACAGAACAAATACTGGGGTTGACCTTTGCAATGTGACATAATAATATGTGACTTCTTTATAGCTCTTTTCATCCAAAATGCTTGGCACACTATGAATCTGATCCTGCAGCTGCTTACCACTGGGCTTAGCACTCACTGCTACAAGCAATCCCTGGGGAAGCCAGCGGAGCACTCACACACAGAAGTGCTATACTTGGTATTAGTTGCAGGATCAGGCCCTGGAGAAACGTAGCACATGTCTGTGAATAGCCACATTTTGGAGAGAGAAAGCCTTGCCCCTCTCATTTATGATTTTTATTCACTATCAGAGTGCCATGCCCAGCACTGACATGACAGCGTCCCTTTGGCTAAAATGGCATGTCAGGTAATTCTTGGGTCATATTTATAGCTATCATCTACAATCCTGTTGCTTCTTTTTATTATTTTTACCCTGCCCTGAAAGCATGCTAATTAATAAACTCCCTTAGCTTATCCTGCACCATTTGATCCTGCAGAAATCACAGCATTTTATCTTATGAGTAAGTAGGAATTAAAGAATTAAAACTACTCAGGGGAAAAAGGAACATAACCACTTTCCCTGTGCATCCCTTCTGAAACAACCTTGCACTGTGCCCTCAGAAACCCCAAGCTCAGCCCCCTTGGGTTGACACAGGAGAGGAATCCCAGACCAGTGAACGCTTGGGCTGAAAAATACTTTCTGCTCTGCTATTCCTGTTGTGAAAGGGAGAACCCGGTTAGGTGCATGGAGAAGAAGAGTCTGTCAGTGAGATCCCAGCCTCGGATCAGGCTGCAGGTCCCTGCCATGCTACCCATGTCCTCTGCCACCATGGGAAATTCAGTTAGTCCTTCTGTGCCTCAGTTTCCTGTTGTTAAAAGGTGGTCCATGCTCATCTTCACCAAGGAGATTCACATGAAAAAAACATTGCAAGGGACACAGTCATTATGGTGTTGGGAGATAGGTAAGTACCTTAGAAACACATAGAGAACCTATGAGCTCAGACATCTGTGGTACTCATTCAAGGAGAGTAAATTTTGGAAGTCCTCAGTAGGTGGAAAATGTGAAAAGGGAAGCAGGTAGGATCCTTGTGCCCACCTCTGCTTGGTATGTTCAGGATGAGCAGAACCAGGAGAGACACCTGCTCCACCTTCTTGGTGATGGGAAGTGGTTAAATCTGGGGACGGAGACCCACTACCATCAGCAGGTATCTCCACGCTTCACTGTTGTTTGCCATAAGTGGAGCAGCGTCCCCCCCCCCCCCCCCCCTTAAAAAATAAATTCATTAGAAGTAGAGAGGTCTGGAAGGGATTCCCTGGATCATCAAATCCAATCCCCTGTTGCATCAATCACATCAGATTTATCCTTTTCATAATCAAGCACCACTATTAAATGTGCTCCTAAGGGAAGACAGTCCCAGAATCTCATTGCTTTAACTCGTAGATGCTTCTAATTTCCAGTCTATGCTTAGTCATGGCCCGTTTGTTGAACAGCAGGTACCTGGCACAGAAGCAAGAAATTTAACACAGTTTTCTTAAAATAACCACTCAGATATCCTATCCACAAAAAAATGCTGAAGTTGCAAAAGGGAACGTGCAAGGTCAGGTAATGATAATGGGGAGGTCCGAGCTCACACTTGCCTCAGCCTTGTAGTACAGACTTCACATAATCACCTGCCGTTAATCTTGTATGATCTGGTTGAGGTACAAGGCAAAAGTACTTGCAGAACAAAGGAACGTCTTTGCTATTCTTCTCCATAATATTAATCGTGTAACCCTCTGTCTCTCTTGTCTCAGGTATAACTAACACTGAGCTAAACATTTGACAATTTTTCCCTTTCTTGGCAGGCTTTTCCATGCCATTTATTGTTTTACTGTACAAGCCATTACCTGCACAGCATCTTTGAGAAGTCAGTGAGTGGCATTGCCCTGTTTTACAGGTTAGGAAACTGAGCTATCAGCCCTATCAACCCATAGAGCTGCAAGGGCAACTTTCCTCCTCCAAAATGCCCCTGCTTTATTCAGTGCAGTCTTATTGACTCCAAACCACGCAATTGCTACCCAGCCAGAGGAAAGGGTCTGGTGCAGTAGTCTGCCTTGTGGCACAGAGTGTATGTTGTGTGCCATGGAAAAGATGGGATGCTCTAGAGCCACGACTTGCTTGCTTTACATTCTTTTAGTATTCGGTTAGTTAATCAGAGTGCACAATGAATGGGCGAGAGGGAAGAAATAGGTGAGTATAGGCTGAGGTGCAAAAACTCTGTGTTACCCATTAGTTGTGACCCAGTCCATAGAGGCCAATGGTACATGGAGTCATATATGCTCAGATCGGGTCACTGCCGCGCAGCGTAACCAGAGTGACTAAGGAGGAGGGCTCATTTGCCAAAACCAGGTTTGCAACTAGGACGCTGCAGTCCCATGTTTGCTTATTTAACTTGGCAGGTATTCAAGTGAAACAGGCACAGAGGGGAGGTGTCAGAGCTGATCTCGGTACCAGCGTGTGGGATTTTGACTTTCTATTTCAGTGCTCCTGTTTGGAAAAGAAATGCACTCAGAACCCCCCCTCCTTTTTTTTTTTTTAAGCACTATTTAAATGTCATAAGAATCGTACAGTGCCCACCTTAATGTTCCTAACAAATTAAAATATTTTATTAGTCTATAATCTGAAAATCATTGCCGTGGTTACTGTAAAAACCTGAAGGTCTCCAGAG